CAACTGGTAGTATTTGCACAGTTGAATCGAATGGGGGAATGTCTTGTGTCGAAGGGGTCCAGCTAAACTGTGCCTTAAAATGTTCTGTCTCGTATGAAAAATGGAACCATAACTGGTTTTGGACCTCATCAATATGGTCCCCAATCACAGCACCGACTGAACATTCTCTAGCCTTTTCTTGATACGGCTCGAAAATACTTCAACATTGTTTGCAGATACATAATTTTACCTTTGGTAATAGTCCTCGATGCCGTAAACAGTCCAATATTTTGGCATGTCAAATCTTCTATTTGGTCCAGAGTTTTGTGCATATTGAAACGAGCCGGCATGTTGTCCAGGTCACCATTTAGAACAAAAACGACGTAAGTCAACATTCTACTTAGGAGCCAAGATTTTTCATTCATCAGTTATTTTGGCAGAAAAAATCTTACATTTTATTAAAAGGGTCGCAAGTGAGCGAAAATAGCCTTGAGTGGCAATACAGGGGGGGGGCATAAGTCGTACACGTCCGTTGATTATAACACGCATACCTCTAATTTGATTAAGCTCGATTGAGTATTGTTCTCTGTTGTTCGCTTGGCCTATTAAGCACGGCGAGTAGAGTCAAAGGGTAGATGGAGAATTAACAAGGATAATAAGTAGACACACGAGCGTGACTGTTTGTCACACAGCCTGCACGTAAAAAACACGCAGTAGTTAACTCTCGTATAAAAGCTGTTTTGTCGTAACACCAAACAAAGCCTGAATGTTTAGAAAAAGTTCGGAACATTTATACGGAGATGTGTACTTTGAGAAAATTACCATTCTAAAAGCGACGAGCTAATAATTTCAACCACCATGAACTTTAATTTGATGTAGACGTCCAGTTAGGCAATTCATACACTATAGTTTCTCCCTGAAAAGTATGAGAACAAATAAACACTTAAAAATAACATAAAATCAAATCGAGGAAGCTCAGACACTGGAACACGTGTACTGGTACACTACAACCAATTGGTCATACGACTGAAGGTCAGCAAAATTTGTAAAATAGTCACGAGACCAACATTATTGATTTACCTAAACCATAATTCCAAATGTCGGGCAAGACCTAAAACCATTAGTAAAGATGTGTGTCTACTAGGGCATGGTGACAGTAGTTCGTATGTTACCTAACGCTTACAATTTGTCGTGTATCTTCCTAATTTTACTCCTCGGTTATGGTCGGTACACTTCAGCAGTCCTACCACAATGTATCATAGCTGTGACCAAACGAAGCACGGCAAACACCACCTGCAATAGCAGACGAATACAAGCCGCTGTAAAAAGACACCACATCACACTTCTGGGTCCTGAAAAGCCATTTCAACCAATACTTTTACGATGTCCAATATGTTTCGAAAAAGACGAGAAAGATTTCGTCTGGAAATTTGTGCCTCGTTCAACCGGCCCGCCATTATTTCGTTTAGCTAAAGATTCCGCATATGACAGTTATTGGACACTGGATGAAAATAAACTTATGGATGTGCCAACTCAGTCAGGCGAGAATCCGTGTGTTTATCCGAATTCAAACGATTTGCACATCGTAGTTCGTGATCTAGGAAAACAAATTGGGACATATGTGTGCTCTTATGCGAAGAATAAAGCTCATCCGGCAAACTTTATTTGGTATCATGTTGATCAAATTGTGTCGCATCGAACAAATTCTCGAGCTGTCTCATTCAAATTTTTATCCGGATTACCCAATCGTGTAGAAAGTTTGGAACAATTGCAAATTGTTCAATCTCGTGTTCGTAAAGAATTAGAAAAGTATCAGTCGTGGAATGACCAAACTGCCGGTCCTTTTGTGATGACCAGTATAATGTCTGAAGAAGATGTCTATTTGGATGGATGTGGACCACTAACAATTCGTCAGGAACGACGTTGTTTTATTGGAATCCCGGTCGAGGAACCGCCTACATACGAACAAGAGGATTATGCGTTGATATACCGATCGCTTCGGGACGCATTTGATTTCCTCGTCTCATTTCGTGATCCCACCGGGCTGCCCAGTGAACGACTCGCTCAGTCTGCACGAAAAAAAGCGAAACAACTGGGGTTTCCTATCCACGGGAACAGTAGTTATCTGTTTATCCCATGCGAATTCAGTTTGTATCGTCATCTTTTCCGATTTGGTGAACGATTTCGCGAGTTTCCGCGACCCGGTTATCACGTCGATGTGAATTACGATGTGATATGTCCAACTTTGAGCACCCATGATTTGACAGAATTGATAAATATAACAACATTGAAAAATACTACATTCAGCCTACCTAGTATAGAAGACTTGCGATACATCAAGGTTCAACGGTTAATTATCGAAGGTGAACGTCATCTGAGTCTTACATGCAGTTCGAAAATCGAAAAACCGCTACAATGTGATGGTCCATATCCCGATGTGTTGTGGCGTTCGGCGAACGATTTGACATTTGGACCGAAACGCAAAGCTTCCGAGAACGTTTATGTGACAAAAAACTGTGAACTCCGTTTCGACGAGGTGCACACATACGATATGGATATTTATTATTGTTTTCTTCGTAACCCAAAAGAAACAAATATAGTCTGGTCCCAACGTCCACGTATAGCCTATCGTTTGCGTATTGAACGGATCAAATTTTCCTGGCCGCATAAAAGCAATGTCCTGGTCGGTTTAGTGGTGCTCTTTATTTGGTCCTTAATTTTGTCCACCCTGTGGGTTGCATTGAACATTTACGACGCCTCGGTACGCGAGGGTGCAGTTTTCGAGGCCACGGTAAAACAAGCCGGTGGACGAATGGCTAGACTGAAAAAGACCTATTCACCGTTCTCAGACGAAGATCGTGGTCTGTTTTTTCGTCTAATGCAGAACGATTATGGTGAACGAAACCGGAAGAAGTAGCACAATGGATTGTTCTATCCGTACGATGGACAATCATTCCATTCGTTTTGGATCGGTATGTTATGCACAGCTATGTTGTCTTACCATCCCGATCCACACACATTTCTGTTATTAGCTGCTAATGGTCGTAATATACCACCTACTGGTGCATGCATAAAATGAATAAACGACCATACAGTAAGTACTACCGCAAGTTGTTTCTTTATTTTATCTGTTGCGATTGGAAACACCATGATAAGCACTATTAAATATGGGAAAACAAGGTATCCGTATTTTAGCTACATAACTCTCGGCAACTTCGTCCGGCGCGAAACTCGCAGTGCTTGACTGAGACTCGTTAGACTGGATTGTCCAGTCCGGTCCAAAATTGATCAGTGAATCGATTTGTGCTACGAGTACTCTCGTGATTTCAGTTCGAAAAACAAACACATTCCCCTCGTCCATGGGTGTATCGATTTTGACCGTTGTCTTTCGGTCAGAGGTTTAGTCAGTTTATCAGTCAACCAGTGCGTAAAGGAGTAAAATAAGTGAAAGGTTTGAAATAATGTGAACATAAAACAGAGACTGCGCATGAACTAGAATGTTGGGAGATACGCCCAATCCATGAATTACTGCACTCAGTTAGACCACCGATTGGCTAAACAGTGATTAGTCTGAGTTCCGTTTGTACAACCAGTAACCAGGCCTATTCGTGCGCCCGTTTTTTTGGCTGTCCATTTGGATGAACGGGTAAAAAAGATTAGAAATTCGGAAGTAGAGTAGAAGAGAAAATGGAGAATTCCTGTAGATCAGTTTGAGAAGATGCACGAACACCACTGTTTACGACACTCAGCCATATCAATCAGTGTCTCTAACCATTGATTACAGGGATCCCAAAGTCCCCATTCATGGATTCGAACTCGAATTTCCTGTGCGAGTATCCCGGTCAGGGATTGTATTCCCACATGTCAGGTCCTAGCCCTTGTCTATCACCGGCTTGCAGAAAAGCATGGTGCCAACACCACAACAATAATAGCCACGGCAAACAGCACATATCTTTGGAAGTCTGTGGAGAACGACCACTTGCTCCGAAACCGGCGCACGAAAATGCATGGTGACTGGTTGAACAAACTGAAAATGTAGCTTACGCAAGTGGGCAACCCGGGTACCCAAAACTGCACCTAACCTCAGCATTGCACGTCCGGTTGCTCCCACCAGACTCGTGTAACGCTAGGTAGGCGGTGATGTTCGAAAACTGACAGCCTGCGCTTATCGCATCATCCTGATGGCCAAGTTTCTGCGCCGTAGAGCAACACCGGTCGAACTACTGCAGCATATACACGACCAGTTACAGACTTCCGGATATCGTGATGGCACCGCAGATGTCTTGGATTTGGCAATTGAATGTTCTGTATTTGAGGCGACAATCCATCCGCAATACCTTGTTGGGATGAGACATAGCTGTCCTAATAGCAAAATTGATCTACTTTCCTTATTTCTTCCCCAGTTAAAGTGAAGTTAGTTGCGTGATAAACGCAGTCCCTCAGCAAAATTTTGCACTTTCAAGGTGCAAAATCTATACCGAAAATGGTAACACTAGCGATCAAACTTTCTAGTAAAGCTTGTAATCAACCTGCATCTTCACCCAGTGTACTCCAGCCTAGATAGAGGGCATCATGGGAGCCGCTGTTCTCGCACGAGGATAAGGCTGTTTCCAGAATAAAAACGATCATCAGTTGGAACAGCAAAGGAGAAGT